CCGCTCTTCTTTGTTTGTGAGTTGAGTTTAGAATCTTAACATTTTCGGTCCGGTTTAGTTATTTTTGGGGTTAACCGTTCGGTTTTTATATTAGATACGATTCGATTTCGGTTCTATATTCGGTTTTTATCGATTAAAAATATCTATTTTTCAAAGAAATTTTCATATTTGTTTTGGTTATTATGATATTCGGCTCTCTAGTATTCATTGTTTTTTATTAATTACAATTATTTTAAATTGATTTTTTAGTATTTTATTCTAATTGGATTCTTATAATTTGTATTAATTTATTTAAATATTTAAATTCAATAAATTTTTATATCAAATTCGAATTAAAATAAAATAATGTATATCATATTTGGGTCGGTTTTTGATACGATTACTTAGTTTGGCCAAATATTATTGTCAAGCAAAGCATGTAGAGATTTAAAATTGGTTTAGTCAGACTCAGATACCGTGATTAAGCCACGTGGCTTCCTGCTTCTTAGATTTCATACGTAATTAGGCTTTTTTTTTTTTGAAAAGTCTATCTATCGAATAAATTTAATTTTTGTTTAAATTGCTTTTCATATATATATAAAAAAAAGCTGTCAACGTTTATATTTGAATATTTCGTATCTCATTGACTTGACCGATATAATAATTTAACCAATAAACACATATGTCAGTCAGTGTTACAAAATCTAGTTATTATTTTTTTCCATCATCATTTTCAAGATAAGATATTTTTTAAACATCTAAAATGGTATATTATAATCTATAAATTATGTAGAGATCTCTCTGTTAAGCAAAAATTAAATTCAAATTCTAACTGATTAATTCCATGGAAAGCAGAATTATTAGACATTGACTAATTGTCTTTGAAATATCAAATTTTCGTTTCGGTGGGTTAAATTTTTAATACGATTTGGTCTAAAATAATTTATTCAATACAAAATATGAGAGGATATATTACATGATGTTTTCTTCGACCATTCATTCAGTCTCATACATTATTGAAATAAGAAACGGTCGAATTATTAGGATACATATTTTCGAATCAAGCAGGTAATTTATATTAATTACATTAATACCCTTTATTGATTGGAACCATGGCTTACCCATAACACACATGGGCAAGTATGTGGCAATAACCAAAAAAAAAGGTCAACGAAGAAATCATTGGGAAACTCAAGATTTGTTTTGGTGGGTATCAATTACATCCTATGTTTTTATTTAAAATAATAATAAATATATTAAACAATCATATTAATTGTAATGCTTTCTATTTTGATTTCATAAGACTGTTCTAAATTTATGTTCACTGTTATTATCTTAAAACGAATGTATAAAAAAAAATCTAGAGGAAAGTGAAATATTAAAATGTTAAAAGAGCAAAAGCTGATGATCTCATTGAAGTATCAGACAGACAGCTGTGGATTTCAATTATTATAAAATTATATAAATACAATTTCGAAAAATATATAAAATATAATAATGAGAAAATTGTGGTTTTGATCAGCGCTTTCTTCTCGATCTTTTTCTCTCTCTCTCTATAACAAAGAAAACAGCTGAAACTTAACATACCATATTTTCTCTCTCTATTTCCTTTCTCGAATCTCCGAAATCTTTCTCTCTGCTCGATCTTCTTCGCCATTTAAACTTTCCAGTTTGAAAAAATCTCGGAGAAAGCAGGGGAATTCTGCATCTCTGATTCGCCTGCCGAATCTTGTTTCGTTTCTTGTTCTTCTGGTCCCGGTAATCTGAGCTTCGTTCGATGATGATTTTAGCTTTCGGAATGGTGATTACCTGATCTGTTCCTCTTTGATTGATTCTGTTTAGTTGCTTATTCCCTTTTTTGGTTTTCGCCGCATTTCTTTGATTGCAGAATCGGCGGAGAATCTGTATTTGTTTCTTTGGTTCTGGAGATTGTTTTTAGGTTGCTCGATTCTTCTGGACGGCGGGGTGCGGATCTCGGGAAAGAGATTCGTGTTAGTCTTGACCAAGCCACGGCTCTGACTTTTGGATTTTCGTTGTCGTTGTTGTTTGTGGAGGTCTGATTAGCTTTTGGATTGTGTTGATTTGGTTGCTTGCGAATCCGGAATTTTCATTCGGGGAACTTTGCGTTCCGGAATTCGGGAACCTTTGAATGCTCCGGCGAGAATTTCCCTGAGCCAGCGGCTCGGGGGAGATCTGGAGGTCGGAGATCGGTGACGAGAGCAACGAGCATTTGCGTGTTAGCAATGGCTTCAACGCCATCGCCGGAGAATGAAAGCTTGGGTTCCTATGGATCGCCGGCTCCTCGTTACTCTATGCAGGAATTCAAGCTCTTCGAAACTCAATCGGTAAATTAAACTTCAACTTTGGATTTTCTCTTACTGCAATTCGATTGTTTTTCTTTGTTTCTTCGTGACTGTCACGTTGATGTTTTTGATGTTGAAAATTTTGGATCTTTGAAGGTAATCTGGATGCGGTTCGAGTTGGTGTTGTTGTAGAAATTAGTATTGAACTGTCTGTCTCTCGGTAGTTTGAGAGTGGTTTCAGTTTCAATGGTTCTCAAATCTCTTTTAAACCTGTTAGTATGCCAATACCCGGAAGGATTTTTAGTAGATTGACCAACATGTTTGCCGTTAATGGTATCTTCTTTTTTCAGAACTTCTACATGATCGGTTGGGATGGCAGTGGAGTGTATAGAGTATTAAAGATAGACCGGCTGGACCCTTCTGAGCTTAGCATTAGTGAGGATTCCACTGCTTATACAAAAAGAGAATGCTACGAGTTACTAAAACGGATACATGAAGGAAACAAGGTCACAGGTGGACTGAAACTTGTTACTGTTTGTTATGGCATTATCGGTAAGTCTTTTTATCTGAATTTCTTGTACATGAGAGTTAGTGACTGTTAATTTCAAGGTCTTTCTCACTTTTTCACCTTGTATGGTCTCACAGGGTTCATAAAGTTTTTAGGTCCCTACTACATGCTGCTTATCACTGAAAGAAGAAAGATAGGTGCAATTTGTGGACATAGTGTCTATGCAGTCTCAAAGAGTGAGATAATTACACTGCAAAACTCCAGTGTGCCGTGCAACTTTGTAAATTCAAGAGACGAGAACAGGTTTTTTCATCTCTCCTTTGTTGTGATGTTGTTTTCTGCTTCTAGGCTATTGCTTCATTTCTATATCTCCATGATAAAGTTAAATTCTTTAATTAAATTGACCTGTCCATGTTTGTGTGAACTGAACTCATCTAACCTTTTTGTTTTCATTGATAAAACAGATACAAGAAACTCCTGTGCATGGTGGAACTTACAAAGGACTTCTTTTTTAGTTATTCTTACAATATAATGCGCAGTCTCCAGAAGAATATATGTGACTATGAGACTGGACATGTTCTCTATGAAAAAATGTTTGTGTGGAATGAGTTCTTGACTCGGGGTATCCGTAATCATCTTAAAAATACCCTATGGACTGTAGCATTAGTGTATGGCTTCTTTAAGCAGGTGAGCATTGGTATGCCTTTCTGTAGATGATTGCTGTAAGAGAAATTATCTTATCCAAAAAACTAGAATAGGTACCTCTTTTTATTTTAGACCATTTATTTTTCAGGTTGCTAGTTTGCTTAACATATACTGTTAACAACTGTCTGTTATATAGGAAGTGTAGTGTGGTGTTAATATCACTTTGTTGCGTCAATAAGGCCTGGAAGCAAACTTAACTGCTTTTTTTAGTAACGATACAGTTTGTAGTTGGTAATTCAGATATATCTGGTTATTATATAGTGGCCTTTTTAATTTTCAATACCTTGGATGTTGCCCCTTGATAATGTTTCCAAAAAGAGGTACTGATAGAACCCGTGTTTACAGGTCACTCTTTCTGAATCTGAACGGAATTTCAAACTTACTCTTATAGCTAGGCGTTCACGTCATAATGCTGGGACGAGGTAACTAATTCATCTTCACTCTCCGGTTACATTTTAGGTTCCATACCAACATGACTATAAAAATATGCCACATTCTAAGCCTAAAAAGGGAAACGTGTAGTCCATGCAAATAAACCTGTAAGAATTCAACGTATCTAGATTTTTTGCCAAAGCATTTTGTGCTGCTGTCTATCTTCGTGTTCATTTCAACACTATGAGATGTGAATTATGCTTCTGTACTAGATCTAGCCCTATCTAAGAAAGTAATTTTCATTTTGTTCTCCTCAACTTCTTTTAACATTAGGTACTTGAAACGAGGTGTAAATGAAAATGGCAATGTTGCTAATGATGTCGAGACAGAGCAGATAGTGTCTGAGGATGTTGCCGAAGGCAGTCCCATGCACATTAGTTCTGTTGTACAGAATCGAGGCTCAATTCCTTTATTTTGGTCACAAGAGACCTCACGGTTGAACCTTAAGCCAGATATAGTTTGTAAGTACCTGTGCTTTTTATTAAAAATATCTGCATCCTTTTCTTTTGCACACGTATGTATATTAATTGCATTTTAACTAATTAATGTCTTAACAGTGTCAAAAAAGGACCCAAACTATGATGCAACTAGACTTCACTTTCAAAACCTTGTGGAGCGATATGGAAACTCCATCATCATTCTGAATTTGATCAAGGTGAGTTGCTTAGTCCAGCTCTTTCTTATTATTTTGCTCTTGAAACCTTGCTAAATGATCCATCATCTGGCACATAAGATTTTGATTGATAGCCTTTCTCTTATTTTTCTAAATCATTAGACGAAAGAGAAGAGACCAAGGGAGTCAATCCTCCGGGCTGAATTTGCAAATGCAATTGACTTTATAAATAAGGATTTATCTGAAGAAACCCGTCTAAGGTTCCTTCACTGGGACCTGCACAAGCATTTTCAGAGGTATCTATCTCATAACTTTTCTATTTGTTTTCCAGCTGCTACATTTTTTTAAAAAATGAAATCTAAGATATTGAAGATGCAAATCATTTGCATTTTTGTTTTTCTATCTCCCAGCAAAACAACGAATGTGTTGGCACTTCTTGGCAAAGTAGCTGCATATGCTTTGATGCTAACAGGGTTCTTTTACTGTCAAGTTACGCCAACAATGAAGCTTGAGGGCTATATGAGCTTGTCGTCATCTGAGTAAGCCTTTTTTTCTTGAGTTCCTGTAAATGCTTTGCCTATAAATGGTGAGAAAATCTTCCCAGCATAATTGTGGTGTCTGTTCAGTTGTCCTATGCTTCTCTGTTAATATGGACCCTGTTGATACAAGAATAATTGGGTGATTCTTCTTTCTTTGTTTTAGAAATCTTTTATAGATGTAGGCTTGTAAATGAGAGTGACTTGTTGGCCGTGATTGACCATCCATAGTTTATGACAAATGTGGGTTAGCATTGGACTGTGGTGTAGTAGAAAAGGCTGCGATCAAAATACCTGTATAAGCAACCTTTGACTTTCCAAGGCTGTCTAATAAACAATGCTTACAGTAGTGATGCTTTTAAAATTGCAGTGCTGACACTGAGAATCTGTCTCCCCAAAATAGTTCTGATGATGATAACGGTGGCTGTGACATTCCAGAGAAGAATACTAGCAGAAGTAAGAATATTGCCAATGGCAATTGTGATATCAAGCCACCCAGGTTTCAGAAGGGTGTGCTGAGGACCAATTGCATAGATTGCCTTGATCGTACAAATGTTGCACAGTATGCATATGGTTGGGCTGCTCTTGGACAACAGCTCCTTATTTTAGGGATCAGAGATGCCCCGGCAATAGAACTTGATGATCCTTTGGCTATTGTTTTGATGGGGTTTTATGAGAGAATGGGAGACACACTAGCTCATCAGTATGGTGGATCTGCTGCTCACAACAAGGTAGCCCCAATATGTTTCTACTTTTAACCTAATGCAAAAGTTGAATTATTATTATTATTATTATATATATATATATATATATATATATATATATATTGGTTCACTCTCGCACACTGGAAATCCTTATGTGTTCAGAGAAGACTGTCTATGTGGTGTCTCTTGTAAGAAATTGTAAGTTGATTCTAAGTTCTAGCAGTACATTCTGTGCAAAATGCATCCCATCTGATTTTATGGGACAGTGGTGCATGACTGGTTCCATGTGCGCGAGCACAGTTCTTAGCTCCAAGGAAAACATATTGCATTTCTTTTTACATTTGCACATCTGATCACATTAGGGTTTACTATAATTTAAAAGTAAAATCATTAGTCTGGTTTTTGTTAAAGCAAGGTAAACTCGTGACAAATATAAGAGAGCACACATGTGCAAAGCTTAGATCCTGATTTCAGGTAGTACAGATACTCCATGCTTGTTAATTGCTGATCTGTTTTATTTGGGCCTATTCAAGGGTGATACTTGCCGAGCAACATGCATCGTTATTGTCTTATACCGTGGTCTACAGAAAGTTATACATGACTGGGTAGCACTGAAGATCTTATAACTTCTTGATCCTCTTGTTTGCAATATCTTTTGAAATGCTGTTAGCCAGACTTGAATTCTTTGATATGGTGGAACTGTTCCAAGTCAATTATCTGATTCTCGATGCTGTAAAAATCCAGTTACAAGACTTTCTGGTCGTCATTTATGTGCTATCTTTTTCTTAATGAGAGTCCATATTTCAATAGTTTAGTTCTTATGTTGGAAGATGCTTTGAGTCTGATGGACATGAGTTGCCATTGTACCTATTACTTTGTACTTTTGTAGATTTATTTTGTTGATTCCTAGAATTTCTGGCATGCGGTAGGTTTTCTCTGAGAGGAGAGGCCAATGGAGAGCAGCAACTCAATCACAGGAGTTCTTCAGAACTCTACAACGGTACTATAATAATGCATACATGGATGCGGACAAACAAGATGCCATTAATTTGTAAGCTGATCTCTCACTTTCCCCATTGGTGTTAATTTCTATCAAGAATGAGGGAGCTTAGAATTTTTCTTCTCCGTCTTTGTGGCTGTAGTAGAAAACCGTTTTGAACTTTTGTTAGCGTCCTATATGCAGATTTTTGGGCAATTTCCAGCCTGAGCAGGGTAGACCAGCAATCTGGGAGTTGCGTTCAGATTCTCGCCCTAATGGTCGAAATGGGGAGATGAGTGCAGATGAAGATGAGAGGTAGGTTTCTGAAACTTCAAAACTCGGATTTCAGATATTCTCCGCATTAGCTTATAGAATTTTCTGGTGCGAGTTATTTGTCTTTAGTGCTTGATGTTCATCCTTCACCAATGTTTTCTAGTTTCCCATTTTGGCATGTTTGTATTCTCTGATAATCAAGCATTCTGTAACATCTAGTAATATTGTAAGCCTTGTTTTGTGCCTGCTACCAGAGATCTAAACGAATATGTTTCACATCTTTCGACATAATTACTCTAAAATGTCATTATCTACCATGACTTCAGTATTGCTTCTATAAAAATATTCAAACGGTAAATGCAGTTTTAGCTAGTGCAGTTTTTGTTTCTTTCTCTTTTGGTGGCATCTTCAACTCACTTAGCGAAGTGGAGGTATACGGTTTTTGGTTTTCTTTATCAAGACAAACGGAGTCATGGGAAACTAGGTGTTTTGTTGCTCGTGGATACTAAAGTTTAATTTGGTCTTGCAAGTTTTGTGTCTGGTAAAAGTAGTGAAGTATTCTTCAACTTAATCAGTTAATCTGTCTATCTTTTTCATTTATTAACCATAGTTTAAATCTAGTATCTCAGCTCTTAGTTTTTATGTTTTAGGTTTCATGTGAAGCGATGCTTATCAGATGGCAATATTCTCAATGAAAGTCGAACACCGATGTCAGCCATGAGTAGCAAGCATGAAAGCATTTCACATAAAGTTTTTTCCGAGCCATCACGAGGAGTATCCCATATTCTTTCAGAGTCATCACCTGATATATCAACTTCTGAAGACGTAGCATTATCAAGGTTCGTTCATATCACCTTCTTTCTTATGTGTGGCCTCTTGCAGGAGCAATTCTCTCTCCTTCTCTTGGTTCACATGGTTCGATGCAAATGAAATGTTCAGTCTGGAAGTACTTGGGACAATTTTTATTCTGTTTTAGTTTTTTGCTGGACACAGCTTAGTAATTCTTGTCAATCCCGTTGAAAGTATGAGGCTAGTGAATTCATGAGTCGGTTCGGTTATATGTCACTGCATCATGAAAGAACTACTAAGCAAGCTAATACTTTCAACCCTCGTCTCTTTTGTGGGTGTTAATAATATGTAGGTGTACACCATCAATGCCTAGAAGGCAGCTCTTTGGAGATGTGCAGAAGGTTCAACATCTTGGTAGTGATCCTGGTTACTTGTCGGAACAGGAAGACCTGTGTAGTGTCTCGAACTTTGTTGATATCGAACGACTTTCTTCCTCTGAAAGTCTATTGGAGAATGATCTATTTGACAGGTAACCTTTTTGTGCTTTAAAGAGTGATTTAAAATTTGTTTCTCGGGTGGAGCTAGCTGAGGTGAATCTGCTGGTCCTGCAATTATCGTGGAGAAAAAAAGATAAAAGTACTATATAGTTTTTGTATCTTTCAGCAGGCTGCCGACGCTTACGGGATATTCAACTGCTGAGATGTCGTCGTCGGAGAACATCATCAATGGAGGAATCGGACAATCGACGCCACCTTCATGTGAATGTGGACCAAGCAGCAGGAAGGTCAGTACCCTCTCCTATTTCTCGCCAAGTCGTCTTGTACACTAATTGCGTGATATCATTTCACAAAGCGTGCTCCTTTTATTGATTTCTCTTTGGTGATTGTCCAAGATTAGTCATAGTCCTCTAATCTTAGTCTGGTTAATATGTTACAATTAGGGCGAGATTTTCGGATTACTGAACTCGAATTCGTACATCTCAGATCTCATGAGATATTACTCGATTTCGGATCTGTTTGGTCAGGTACTGGAGACAGTTCTTGGGTACCTGCGGGTAAAACTAGTTGGGTTGTTATATACCCTTTATGTGCTTATGAAGCATAGAACTACTAACCAAAGCAATGGAACTAGTACGAAACCACTCTACTTACCGTGGCTAACTTTGACCCGCAATGATTTTTTCTTCTTCCTTTCCATAGGGCAAGGAACCAATAGGAACCGACCTGTCCGTCCACGCAAAGATTCGGGAGGATTTCTCCGACAGCTTTAAGCAGTGGGTAGCCTATGGAGAAGCACTCTGCCATTGAAACACTCCCCATCTTTGTTTTTGCGACGAAGCACACGTATTACTCCCCTCGCCATCTCTTTGTTTCTCTGAGGCAGATGCTAAGTAAATGAACGTCAAACACGGAAAGAAAATTACTCGGTAAGAGATTCGTCATACCCCGAGTCTTGTATGTCGAAAAAAATCGTTAGGAAACCCGAGGATTGCAGAGGTGTGAGAGTAGTGAATATAACCCCCACAAAAGAGAGATGAATGTGTGGGAGAGGAGAGGCTAGAAAGGAGGGGATGGTGATAATCGTTGTAGTGTTTTGGAGTTTGGATGTAAATATATGTGTACTCTTTTGTGAGATGTCTTTTGCATTTGTCTCTTTTCCACTTTGTAGGGTTTAATATGATAAGGACCATGATCCATCGATTCTTTATTTTTCTCCTTTCCTTTTGTACGTTTTGCAACAATGTCTAATGCCTTTGTGAAAGCTAACGTATTTGTTGCGCTTACACACACATATATTATATGTATATGTGTGTGTGTGTGTGTGTGTGTGTGTGTGAGAGAGAGAGAGAGAGAGAGAGAGAGAGAGAGAATTAGAGATCCGCATCCGCGGCGCTTTGAGTGCAGAGAGAGAGAGAGAGAGAGAGAATTAGAGATCCGCATCCGCGGCGCTTTGAGTGCGAGGACAGACCCATTCCAAGGACCAAACATTTCTTCATTTTTAAATTGCGTCTATAAGATTTTTTTATTTATAGATTGGTCCCCAAAACAATTAAAAATCATCGTTGGCACCCACTGGATTTCCTAATCCAATTTCATTTCAGAAAAAATGTGCTGCTACCAATAATTAATGGAAACAATAAAGCATAATGATAATAATATTTAAAAAAATTATATATAAATAGTGCCAAAAAATACTAATAAAGTGAAGTAATTTGTCTTTTTGCCATGACTACGATATTTGTTTAGAAGAACAATTGCTGTATACTATTAAATGCATTTATATATATATATATATATACAGGTGTATTGAATAATTATGCAAACTATATTATATTTAACAACAAACAAGCTAAACATTATTAGAGCTTTTTTAATTAGTCTTTTTATTATTTTTTTCCAAAAAACTAACATAATTTTCAAAATTAATCTCTTTAATATATGTGTATATATATATATATATGATAGTATGATAACTATTATCTTGGAATATCTTTTATAATTGATTCTGCATTATGTTAGAACATCAATCTATATTCAAAATGCTTAAACTAAAAACACGTAAAAATGTTGAATCATAATTTGTAATCATAAATCGTAGATCCAAACCAAATCTAAACCATCATTTTTATAATATATACTTTAGATCGTTCTAAATTCAATAGGAAAATAGAATATAAAAGACAACAAAGAAAGATTTTTTTTTTTTTTTTTGCTATTTTATGAGAATCAAATTAAAAGAAAGAACAAACAATTAAATTTGTATTAAAAAGACTATATGCAAAAATATGAGAAAATAAATCTAAAAGAGATCTTCTTGTCAATTGCAATTTCGGATAAGTTCTCAAGATTATTCTGCTCTTTCTTCACACAAAAATTGAAAGAGTTATAGTTATAACAGGACTTTAGTTTCAAAGTTAAACTGAAAGAGTTCGGTTTGGTACTTGTTGAGTTAGAAGTTCATTCAGTTCACCTATCTAAGACAAAGATGCTTCTCAGTGTCTAACAAAACCATATAAAATTTAAAACCCTATAAGGTCAGAACTGAAATTAATGTTTTAATTGAGACCCAAATCTCCACATAAAATCATGGAAAGATCCACTCCTATATATGTTTGTTGTGTGTGTATATATATGTAGATAAATATAACAATTTTTATTGACAGGTTGGAAAATATTAAATTTAAAAGGGTGTAATCATATATATGCAAAGCCATATTCATGTAATCATTCAATATAAGAAAACAATATCCACACCACAATGAGATACATGAGGGCCTACACCCACATTTTATAGAGTTCCTAGACACAATTATAAAGGAAATTATATAATACGAGTTATTGCTTTCTGTTTAAGCTGCGTCCAAAAGTGAAAAAAGATGAAACTTTGATTCCAAAGGAAATTAGGCACACCTAAAAACTTCATGTTCAATTTGACCTCTGTCACCCAAAAAAGAATTTAATTTGTTCTAAATAATGTCTTTAAGCTCCAAAACTAGTAAGATTTTTTTTTCTATATTTTAAAATTAATGCTTTAGATCGATGTTGAAAATAAAATTAAAAATAATTGAGAATCTATTGTGATTCAATAAATAAAAACTCAGAGATATAAAGGAACAATCAAAACCGTTGAACATATCTTATAAGAAAAAAAAAATTACAACCAAAATATTTTGTCGATAATAGTATATATTATCTTTACTTTCTCCAACACTGTTGTACCACAAATTACTTTTTGATATCATGCTTACTCCAACAATATTATTCTTCATAGTTTTAAAATCATAATAATAATAATAATAATAACAATTTGACCGAATTAATATAAGTAAACTATAGGTAGTAATTCCAGTCCGCTTAGGTAACCGTATAAGATTACAATATTGGGTTTAGAACAGGTTTGACGTCACGATTTATATTATACACATATTTATACTAGCACCAAAAAAAGAAATATATTAGTTCATATATATATATATATATACACAAAGAAAATAATATGAAAATTGGTATAATTGATGATTTGTTTGTTTTAAACAATTTTTTTAAAATGTGGTTAGTTTTTGGAATTGGGAGTCTTAAGATTTTTTCAAGATAACTTTATTTAATGAAAATTTTCCAACTAAGATTAGGCCCACTCACCACCAAATCTTTCATTTCCATGACAAACTTTATTACATCTTTTTCTTTTATCCACCTTTCACCATTCCAAAAGTTGAAGAGAATAATGATTGCTTATTCTTCTTCTTCTTTTTCTGGCTTTTGGTGGTAAATTTGAGTGCCTATTGGTCATTAAGGCCCAAAAGCAGGTGAGGATGATTCAATTAGAAGCATCAATCATGCATATATATATATATATGTATATTAGTATATATATTCTTCACATTACTATTCTTTGTATTACAACTCTACCCCTGCCTTAGTGACTTACCAATTTAAGAATTTGACCCCTTTTTTTGCAAGTTTTATTTTCTATAGTTTACATGTTGATTGGCTTATTCCGTAAACCCCTTTGTGATTGGATCTTGAATTGACTTTTAAACAATTGCTATACCCCTTTCTGTTCTCTAATGTGTATGTCACATCCATTGAATTATATCATATGGTGCTATGACATTGTTCGTGATTTGAATATTCTATAGTATTATCTTATCATATACACAATTGGAATTTTATTGAAATTTTTTGAAAGACTGCCATATAGGAGACTGGGCCATGCATGCATTCCCATGTAAAGGTTGGGGTTGTGAAGTTTGATCGTCACATTCTATAACATTATCAGAAAAATATTGTAGATTATTTTTATGCATAATTATATGTTAATATATCCATCTAAATGATAAAATCGTTTTTCTATATGTATAATTCCACACACACACACACATATATATATATATATAGATGTGGTAATTATCCTTAATTAGATGGATAAGATTAGTTGGGATGGTCTCTAGAAGAGAGAAGCTCTTATATGGGTGATGTTTTCAGTTTTCAAATCATGTGCAAAAACAAGATAAATACCAAACATTTGTAATTGTCCATTAACCTGAAAATGTAAATGAATTATATATAAACATTATCTTACGGACTTTTTATTTCTAAGACTGTGGAAAAGGGTAAACGGATACCAATTACGTTTAAAACATAAAATACTAATATTTATTTTTATAAAAATATTAAATTAAACAAAATTCATAAATATTCCACCCTAAAAAATAATACGACAATGGAGCAAACGATTCGCTACCATGTACCAACTTCCTCCCAAGGCCATTATTTAATTCATCAATGCTTATCCAAAATTATACACGTAACCCCCACTTAGAAATCCTCCAAGAAAATCGTACTAAACATAAATTAATAAATTAATAAAAGAAAAATCTAAAACCGCTAACGTCAAAACCACGCCTCGTGAAACCACACACAGTTTTTTCACTAACGGTGGACTATAAAGTGTGGAAAATCACATTTTACGTACCATATAATTAACATCAATTAAAATATTTTTTTATGTAAATAAAAAATTAATTAATTATTAAATAACTATTCGTTTGTTACATAATTGTCGGTGGCTGGGTCACGTCATTCGTCGATGGCATGCCCAAAATCTAACTTGTCCCCCACTTTTTTTTTTCTATCGTGGCAGTTATTGTCTACGACGACGTAGCAAAAAGGTTTCTTCATCGTCCAATGATGCGTCGCCACGTGTACATATATTCCGCTAACCGGAGGCTGTCACGTGGATACTGTGGACGGACGCGCACGTTAAATCCTCTTATAAAAGAACGGAAGGCAAAACATTATTACTGTAACCATTATTAACGCCACAATTACACGATATTTATCTCATTATAAAATTATAAAAATTTTAGGGATTTTTTTAGAAATAAGCAATATTTTCCATACATGACACAAACACAAAAATCGAAAATGAAATAGGATGCACATGAAATTTGAAAGAGAAGTGAAATTGGAAGATGAAAATCGAAAGAATGCTATAGAAGATATAATCATATTTGAAAAGAAGAAATAGAAATGTCAGTTTAAAAAAAATTGAGATCGTAAATAAAAAAAAAAAAGGAAATATGACAAACTGGAGGGAAAAAAAATCAAATTAGATCTGTCTCAGATTCGCGTGTGTGTGTGTGTGTATATATTTATATGTATAGAATTTATATTTGACATTTTTTTGGTAATATAAATGGCAGGAATATTGATTGAGGGTTCCGGTATTTACGTAGAAGCAAATAAATTCAGATATTCTAATATTTACGGACAATTAATTTTAGAACTGTGATACCCTATATTATTACATGATATATAACAAGTTATACGTTAATCTACTTGTTTTGTATTCAACTATTTTTTGTCGAATATAATTGTTCAATTTAAAAAATAAAAAGATAAATACACAAGCTCTCCCATTGCAGATGCCAACTTGTTATTTTTAATATATTGGAATTGGCACTGCAATTACAATTTAATATTTGAAAGCTTTACTTTTGCATATAAATATCCATGGGGAATCTAAGAGTGGAAAATTTTAAAATTTAGATTCAATTTAATGCTTTTTATGTTTTTTTTCAACTTATTAATTTTCACATGAACGATACGAAAATTCATACCGTTTTCATGAAATTAGCACCGTGATATAATCATAACTATTTTAAACCCATTTATTTATGTCTAAATTTTTTAAAGTTTAATTAAAACCATGTGATTATCAAAATTATTACTATACTTGTACGGGTTAGTCAAATACCATGATAATATATCTCCGGTGGATTGTGATCATAATTGATTTACATGCAAATAGTTATTTTAAATGTAATTTCTAAGCAAAATAATTGAAAAGACCTATTTATCTATATATATATATATATATCATCTTATATGTTTTCTTTATAAAAAAATTCAAGGAGAGTACTATATAAAGGTCCTCAAGTTCTTCACATTCTCACCATCATCTTCTCATTCTCTCCTTCCTATCCCTATTTTTCGTTATTTTCTATATAAATCTCATCTTTTCTCTAATATCTTTATCCTTTTATTTTATTTTCCTAAATTCAACATTATCTTCTATTGATCTTCGTCTTACAGGGAGTTTTTTCCGATATTTTAAGGTAAATCTCGTTGCGAATATTTCTAGCTAATTTACTTAGCTTCGTAAAAATACATTTCAATTGGTGGCCCATTAGATGAGAAATGACAAAGTCATCTTCAAAATCTCGTTGGACTTCTTGGTTGTAAAAAAAAAAACTTTACTATGATTTTGGGACAAAGTTTTTCAAAAGATTCATTAAAGAGGTGGCATTTTTATTTTGTTAGTGGTTGGAGAAAATAAATAAACAAATAAACAACTTGTTTAATTTCGAGCGGAATATTCTCCTTAGAGATTCTTTGTCTTCATTTGTGTCTTAATCGTCTATAAATATATCTTGAAGCTGTTTTTAAGATAATACATTTTATTTGATTACTTGGCTACAATGTCTCTAGAAGCATAAAATTTGCAAAATATCGATATTGAATACTATATATATATATATAATATCCATATTTATACAATATATATATATATATAATGCTTGTAATCATTGCTTGATTTTTTCTGTCGCTTCCAATACATATATTTTTCCCTTTAAACACGAACTTTAATTATGACAATTCGGATATTTACACAAGGAAAATGAAATATTGAATAACATATTTTCTCATCTATTTTCATTAAAAAAAAACGTATTCTACTTTAGGACTTCTTGAGCTCCACGGCCTTTTAAGAGTTTCCATAAATACATATTACTTATATCAAGGCCAAAAATATTTTTTTTATACTTTTGTATTTTCAGCTTTATTTGAAAAACGCGTACGTTGCATGTGTAGGGCAGCATAAATCTATTAGTAATCCCATTAATTTAATTCAAATAATATTACCCAATGCATACAATACGTCTAATCTATCAATTATGTTGGTCTGTCCATATGACATTAACATTTATAATCTCTCTTTACTTTCGTCAACTTTCTCTCCACCTTTATCATTTTACTAAAACGCCCTTGACCTTTAAAGCCTCTGAATGTTCATTCCTGCCACTGTTTCTGGGTTTGGAGCCCAAGGAAGACAGATTTGAAAGGAAAAAAAAAAAGATTGCATTAAGTAAATGTTTATTATAATTTTACAAAACAATTTAGGCAATCTTTCCCCTTTTCTCCATGTTTTTGTCAAATCGTGCATTCAAGTTTCATCTCTATATAAATCTGAAAGTCTCTGCAAAAGAATCCATATCCATCACATCCATTGAAATCCCTTCATTTGCATTCTCTTTACACAGGTTCTCTTCTTCACCTCTTTCTCCTTAGTTTTTTTCCCCTCTCTCTTTTGATCCATTAATTCTAATTTTATATTCACGCCAATTTTTTTTTATAAATTTCAAAGTCAGTTAAAGATTTCGTCATGCTTTGTTTACTCATCATCTGCTTGGTAATGTGCAAAAGCTTTCATTTTTTCTTCTGGGTTTAGTTAAAGATGAAATCTTTGGGCTGTCTGATTTTCTCACATGATGTTTTCTAGTACAAGTATTTTGTCCTTTTCTCGTGTTTAAACTGTGTTTTTATCATTCTTTGTCGGAGGGGAGAAAAAAAATCAAAGCCACTAGAGATTTGATTTCAAGAATCAACCCTTTGCTTTTATATATATATTCTATTTTAATGATTTTGGAGGAATTTTGTTTCTCACATACTTTTAGCTATGCACGACCAGAAAAAAAATAATAATTACTATTTTTTTTCTGGTTTCATGAGTGATGAGTTTGAAACTTTGAAGCATTGCTTGCAATCTGTAAGCCACTAGAGATTTGTGCCCATTGATTCTTTTTTCAGACAACATTCGTATGTTTTGCTAATTTATGCTATCTCCTTCTTTACAAAAATGTACACTTTGTTTTGCCTTTTTTTCTAGGCCATCAAATTTGTTTTGCTTTTTTCCATTTGAAAAAAAAAAAGAGTAATTGCCATTCAGCTTGATTCGTTGCACTTTGATATATTAAGAGTGTTAGTTTAATGGATTTTTCTTTTGTCTTAAAAGTATATAGTTTTGTATTAATGGATAATGTTGTATTTAAGAGTGTATTGATTCCCCATTTGAATTAAAGGTCAAAAAATTGAATTTAATAACCTCTGGATGTGGTTGGTAAGGTTGGAAAAAAAAATGGCAAACTATCATATTTGAATTTTGTTGTAATGTCTTTTCCATTTTCTTTATATATTGGAGTTTGCATTCTATGTCAAGTATTATGTGCATTGCACATAGCATTTTCATCATCGTCTCGTAACAAAAGCTTCTCTTGTTTCTTGATCATTATCTTCTTCTTGTTCTTGCTACTTTCCAGTTCAGTGTTCTCTTGATCTTCATCAATGGCGGAACGTGTGATCACTCGCGTCCACAGCCAACGTGAGCGTTTGGACGAGACGCTCGCCGCTCAGAGGAACGAAGTCCTCGCCTTGCTCTCGAGGTTCTTGATCATAAATCCCTGTGTTTAGTCTTAAGTGTGATCGCTTACGTGTTTGTGGTATTGTCTGAACAAGAATCTGATGATGTTTGAAACGTTGTTTCTGTGCTTAAACTGGGTCTAGGGTTGAAGCCAAAGGGAAGGGAATTCTGCAGCACCACCAGATCATTGCTGAGTTCGAGTCTCTACCTGAAGAAACCCAGAAGAAGCTCGAAGGTGGTGCCTTCTTTGAAGTTCTTCGATCCACTCAGGTGCGGACAGAAAACCTCTCAGATCATCAAACTTTTACAGAATTTTTTCATCAGGGCAGTGTAATCTTGATCTTTACTGAAATGGGTTCTTGTGGTCATGGCTCAGGAAGCAATCGTGTTGCCACCATGGGTTGCTCTCGCGATCAGGCCAAGGCCTGGTGTGTGGGAATACATAAGAGTGAATCTCCATGCCCTTGTCGTGGAGGAGCTTCGTGTGGCTGAGTATCTTCACTTCAAGGAAGAACTCGTAGATGGAAGGTAGATTGCTAAAATCTTGTCTGCATTTTTTTCAGACAGGTTTTGTCTGACTGATCTGATCCATGTGCTGACAATGATCTTGTTTACAGTGCCAATGGCAACTTCGCTCTCGAGCTAGACTTCGAGCCATTCAACGCTTCTTTCCCTCGTCCGACACTCTCCAAATACATTGGGGATGGAGTTGAGTTCCTAAACAGACATCTCTCTGCTAAACTCTTCCATGACAAGGAGAGTTTGCATCCATTACTCGAGTTCCTCCGTGTCCATGGCCGCAAGGGCAAGGTATCTTATCCATTAATCTTTCATTACACGTGATCTTGATCTTGATCTGTTCTGTCAGATTCTCGGCTTTCTGTAAACAGTCTTTCTTGTGCAGAATCTGATGCTGAACGACAGAATCCAAACCCCTAGCACTCTGCAACACGTGCTGAGGAAAGCAGAGGAGTATCTGACATCTCTTGCACCAGAAACAGCGTACTCCGAGTTCGAACACAAGTTTCAAGAGATTGGATTGGAGAGAGGTTGGGGAGACACAGCAGAACGTGTTCTTGAGATGATCCGTCTTCTGTTGGATCTTCTTGAAGCTCCTGATCCTTGCACTCTCGAGAATTTCCTCGGAAGAATCCCTATGGTTTTCAACGTTGTGATCCTCACTCCACATGGATACTTTGCTCAGGACAACGTTCTGGGTTACCCCGACACTGGTGGTCAGGTCAGTTTTCGGATTTCCTCTTCTTCACCAGCAAGAACAGAGTTCTTGTTCATCACTGTTGATGATTTTTTTTCTGGGTTTTTTTTATTGAATCTATGTAGGTTGTGTACATATTGGACCAAGTTCGTGCTCTGGAAACCGAGATGCTTCAGAGAATTAAACAGCAAGGACTGAACATCACACCGAAAATCCTCATTGTAAGCTCGAATTGGCACTTGTTTTCACGTTCGGACATGGATTTTTGTTGTTATAAATGTCTGAAAATGGCTTTTCTGCGGTGCAGATTTCCCGGCTACTCCCGGACGCAGTCGGAACTACATGTGGTCAGCGTATCGAGAAGGTGTACGGAACTGAATACTCCGACATTCTTCGTGTGCCCTTTAGAACAGAGAAGGGGATAGTCCGCAGATGGATCTCAAGATTCGAAGTCTGGCCTTACCTCGAGACTTACACCGAGGTAAAGCCCGAGTCTTTTGCTCTGCAAATCGTGTTTTTCGATCGACCCTTGTCTCTCAAGATGAATATATCTGTTATTTGTTCGGTTTCAGGATGTCGCCCTCGAGATCTCGAAAGAGTTGCAGGGAAAGCCTGACCTGATCATCGGCAACTACAGTGACGGGAACCTAGTTGCTTCATTGTTGGCACATAAACTCGGTGGTGTCACTCAGGTTTGGCTTCTGTTTCTCCAGAGCTGAGTTTTCATATCTGAATTTACATTCTGATATGGTCTTCGGTTTCGGATCTTTGATGAGGTTTCTTGACTTTGAATGGCTCTTACAGTGTACCATTGCTCATGCCCTCGAGAAGACGAAGTACCCCGATTCAGATATCTACTGGAAAAAGCTCGACGAAAAGTACCATTTCTCGTGCCAGTTTACCGCTGATCTCTACGCCATGAACCACACTGATTTCATCATCACCAGTACTTTCCAGGAAATCGCCGGCAGGTGAATGAATGTTTTTTATATGATCTGAACCAAGAAAAGAACCAATGAATCTGCTAAAATGTTTTTCGTGTTTCTTGAGATCTCTAACCTGTTGAAGAATCTCTTTTCTTTCTCAGCAAGGACACAATTGGTCAGTACGAGAGTCACACCGCCTTTACGCTTCCGGGGCTATACCGTGTTGTTCACGGGATCAATGTGTTCGATCCGAAGTTCAACATTGTCTCCCCTGGTGCGGATATGAGCATTTATTTTCCGTACACGGAGGAGACCCGTAGGTTGACATCGTTCCACCCCGAGATCGAAGAGCTTCTTTACAGCGAAGTGGAGAACGAGGAGCACTTGTAAGATTCGGACATATCTTGTTGGATCTTGATGGTTCTGTTGTTGGAAAACAAGAAAAAGATGTAAGCTTGTTGTTGTTTCTTGAACTGGCTGTTTGAAACAGGTGTGTCCTGAAGGACAAGAAGAAGCCGATCCTCTTCACCATGGCGAGGCTTGACCGTGTCAAGAACTTGTCTGGACTCGTCGAGTGGTACGGTAAGAACACCCGCCTTCGGGAATTTGTCAACTTGGTTGTGGTTGGAGGAGACAGGAGGAAGGAATCAAAGGACATCGAGGAGAAAGCCGAGATGAAGAAAATGTACGATCTCATCGAGAAATACAACTTGAATGGCCAGTTCAGGTGGATCTCCTCTCAGATGAACCGTGTCAGGAACGGTGAGCTGTACCGCTACATCTGTGACACAAGAGGAGCTTTCGTCCAACCCGCTCTGTACGAAGCTTTCGGGTTGACAGTCGTCGAGGCAATGACTTGTGGACTCCCGACTTTCGCCACTTGCAATGGCGGTCCTGCAGAGATCATTGTGAACGGAAAATCGGGCTTCCATATCGACCCTTACCACGGCGACCAAGCCGCCGAGATTCTTGCAGATTTCTTTGCCAAATGCAAGGAGGATCCATCGCACTGGGACGAGATCTCACATGGGGGGCTTCAGAGGATCGAGGAGAAGTATGTTATAACCCGAAAACTCATGCCTTAGATTCTGATTTCATTGATTAAAGTTCTCAACTTTAACCTGTTTCGTTTCGTGGGTTCGAAGGTACACTTGGCAAATCTACTCGCAGAGGCTTCTGACACTCACCGGGGTCTATGGCTTCTGGAAACATGTCTCGAACCTCGACCGCCTGGAGAGCCGACGCTACCTCGAGATGTTCTACGCTCTGAAGTACCGCCCACTGGTAAGCGTTTTTCGCCCCGTCAGGCTTGGATCTTGGGCTTGTTACAGCGTGGTATCTGATGCAAACAATATCTGTTTGGCTCCATTGCAGGCGCAGGCTGTTCCTCTTGCACAGGAGGATTGAGAAAGGGTATCTGAGTCCGAGAATGTGATGAGGATTGAAGAGGGGGCTTTCTCTTGTCGTGTTTCCTTTCCTTGATTTCTGGGTGTTTTCTGTTTCTCCGGCATTTCTCCAACTATGGCTATCTGAGAGCCTTTTCCTCTGTAATAAAAACAAAAGGGCTTGAGATTCCTGTCTTTCAACTACTCACCCCACTGTCTTCTTCCCAAGTTTACGCTGCTTTTGTTCTGCATAAACATGTGTTAGTGTGTTTAGATTCCGAGAGCTGAACCTGCAAATTCTTAATATTTAGTAATTAGGGTTTGATAATACTATAAAAAAAACAAAAAAAAAATATTTTAGAAACGTGGTCGTATATGCAATCTGATTATACAAGAATGATATGTTCGGTGCAGATTCATTGTCTCAACTCTGTTTCTGGAGTGCCAATGCTACTGGAACTCTCCAGATTCTTGGCCAAAGCCAATAGATATCTGGAATCTGCATATTGGATTCACTGTCTATCAGCTCTTTTTTTTCCCTAATGGCACAAGTCAATGAAAGGGGATAAAGGAAGATAATAAAACCCAAAACTCGTCCCTATATATTCCGAGCCCGAGTCGGGTCAAACCGGCCCGTATAATTCCCTTTGTAAATCTTATTTTTTAAAAATATTGGGCTTTTGGACTGGCCCAACCCGAGTTCGAAGTCCGATTCGAGTTCGGTCCGAAAGCCTAATTTATTTTTTTTTTGGACTAAGGAACTTATGTTCGAAATCCGCTAATTTCCGGACTAGACCGGATCGGACCGGAATTCAGGCCTTAACCTAAATCGAGACCCTATGAAAATTCAACCTAACTATATTTTTCAAAATTTAGAGATAATATGAATTTAGAGACAGTATATGTATCACAATTCCAACCGATTTTCGAACATAAAATCTCAGACAAGAACACCCCTACCTTTCTCAAGAATCTCAACTAGCTAAACAATTCGACCCTATTCTCGACTAACTATACAATTCGATCACCGCACATTGAGTATTTTTTTTTTTTACTATTTGAAGAACGTTCATTATATAATAAGCTCGTTACTATATATATATATATATGTCCTGGACGGATCGTGTATTGTCGAGGGATTATTCTTTGGACAAGTGTTGGAAGCAATGACAAAACAATAGGTGCACGTGATAATTGATAAAAGGTTAACCAAGGCTAAACAGTAATAACGTGTAAAGGAGAACCTCTACAATGCAGTAGTAAGGATAGCATGTGGAATCATATCTCCTCCCTCGAGAAGCCGGACAAATGGTATTCGAATGCATATTTTTATTGTCCAATCTTTTACGATATTTTCCCATTTATAGTTTTATATATATAAAAAAATCATTGTGCGAGGTAATTGAATGCATGTTAATTCTTGTGTCTGTGAGTCTTAAATTAATTTAAAAAAAACTGTACGATGCTAAATCTTTGTACATAGTTCAATGTAAATGAAAAGGATCAAACTTTCACATTTAAATAATCTCTGATTTATTTGAAAATTTATTATTACGTGTATTCATTATATTCTAACGTCGAAAAGAATAATACGCGACCATTCATTCACCTACAAACGATTTTAAATCTTGGCTATGATGATACGATCCAAAACCAATATATTCTCGAAATCAATGCCTCTTTCGATGAGGATCCCATGCCATGACAGCATGTTGTAGATAACGACAAACGATGGATGATACTTTCAGTATCATTTTCAAGTGTATATACTACAAAATGAAATCACTGTCAATATCTGAATTTTATATCTACCAACTAGGCTATATATTTTGTTAGAGATTTGGTTGTAATGTGTCCATTCTATTATTTTTGGATTCCGTTTTTATATTTTTTTTTATAAAAGTTCTATGCGTTTTTTTAGGTCGATTTAATCCGAACTTTTCCGTAGTTAGATTTTTTGAATATATTTTTAAGTTAATTCAACAATTTAGGTTTTTTTTTCATATTTTATCTCGAATTAAATTAATTAAGTTTTCTAACAATTATACTGAATCAAATTAAATTAGATTCGATTTAGATAGGATTATTTATATTTTGGTAACCGAAATATCAAACCCTAACTAATAGCAAGGCACAAGTCAATACATACCACCCCCATAGCATGCACATGTGTAGGGTTTTTATATGGTTGACCATGATCTTTCACTTTCACTTTCACTTTCACATGTAACATGCAATATTTATAACAAAATATTCACATTCTAATTTAAAATCACATTAACCAAAAAAATTATCAAAGAAAAATACATTTCAGTCAGCGAGTTTTTACCGTAGAATATACCTCTATCTTCAAGAACAACGATTTTCAGATTTATTTATCCAACTCTACTTAAATCTATAAAAAAAACAATGAGCTTTACCATTTAATGTAAATCTACAAAAGTGCTTTATGCATGTGATTTAGAAATAAGATTTTCTTATTAAAAAAATTATTATTTGATAATTTTGATAATGCAAGCTCATAAGATGATAATATATGGAAGAAGAATGAAGAACAATATAATGATAATGCAATTAGAGATTTTGAGGTTTCCGACATAAAATCTTTGAATATATATATGTATATATATTTCAAAGAACATCAAGAGATCCCATAAGGGTTCTCTCCCTTGCCAACATACACACTAATCAACAATCTTTCTTATATATATATTAATGTTTTGTTTATTCCAAATATTTTGTTTTTCTTTTTTTCAGCACGAATGTTTGATTTTATGTTCCAAAGGCTATGTACCACTCAGAGGCGGGGAACAATCACATGGGTCACAAAGATTGCCCTTAATCAATGGATAATGATCAAATGATACCAAATTGTCGAATTAAGATTTTGATTTAAAAGATAATGAAGTTCTCAATCAACAAAAAAAAAAAAATTGAATTTTGCATGAAAGAGACGTTGTATAATCTGATTTTAGTGCTTTCTTTTTTTTTTAATGTAAAGTTTATATTTAAGTACCAAAATATGACCTCTTGCGATGCTTAATTTCAAGAAATTCATACGAATAATTTAAATGTTTGAATATCTTTCTCAATTAACGAAAAATGTAGACTAGTTTTTTTAATTTGGGGAATGTAATTTTAAATTCGTTCGTTGGGTACCGAAAATATTATGGCAACAAAAAAAAACCATCTACCTACAATATCAAAATGTGTTCACATATCATCATAGTCACACTTCATTCAGAGAATACAAATAATATGCAAATGTTTTTTATTTATTTATGTTTCTATACCCATTTTGAATTTAATATAATTACTCCAACAAATAAGTTTTTCTAACGTTTCTTTTGGCATTTCGACGGTCCTTACGTCTTCTTGGTGTTCCCATCAACCTACTTTAATTACTGCAATTAATATATTCCCAAATAATATGATTTTGATGACTAAATTAATTTAGTACAAATTTTCAGAATTAAATTAATATGATCCTTTTGTCATCAAAGGCTTTGATGCTTTTGTTATGTCGGTCGATTAGGATAATAATCTACTTTGCCAAAAAGAACAAATCTTCCTCAACTCACATGCTGTAACAGTACTGGCCAATACGATGAAAATAAAATATAAATAATAAATTGATTACTCAAATGATAATAATTATAATAATAATAATAATAACGCAGGGGTCTAACCACAACAACATGACAAAATACTGCATATATTGTTTTTTGGGAAGATGCTTATATACATTTTTATTTTAATTAGCATATTACCTAACTACCAAGAATTTGTAAAGCCTCCTTTTTTGAGTTCATGAACCAACCATCCCCTTTAGTTGTTAGGTTCACTGTAGATAGTTTAGTGCAAGGAGAGTATATATATATATATATATATATATATATATATATATATATAGATATATGTAACTTTTTAATCGGAGATAAAAATATATATAGAATTTTTATTAATAATCAAAATTCACATTTATATTTTTTAGAGCGTAATATTTTTATACAAATAAATCATGTTTTTGGAGTACATAAAATTTCATGTTTATGAATCAATAAAATAATTTATGTATCATTTTACTAGTTTTACAAAAGTTTGTAAACTTGTTCCATTCTTCATTTAGTTATTACGCTACTTTTGATAATTATATATGTACATTCTCTCGTGAAATGAAGCCTCAATGTATGGGCAATCATAATGGTTTTTTTATTTATTATTTTGGCTTTTCTAGAGATAAAAAAATGTTCGGATAAAATAGAAATTATTATGAAAAAGTTTGGACCCTCAAAGAGTAAAACGGAAAAACTAACCAGTTCTATTCACTTGAGAAAAAGTCAAGTACAACTCACTTTTTGTTAGAGCTACTCAACAACCAGATGAAACTCCCCCTGAGTTTCAACCCACTCTCACAATGAATTCTACTGATAAAAAAACCTCACCAAACATAAACATTCACCAAAGGAACGGAGATTTTCCCATTAGGTCTCCCCCTCAGATCCACGCCCAAACACTCACCAGAGAAAAGAGATTTGCTCAATCGGTCTCTCTCTCAAACCCACACTCACTCAAAAGTGAGTGCTCACTCACTAACACAAACTCTTTTAGTAAAATATGCTTTGCTCTCCGTGAGAACTGATATGCACTTGCTCTCTCCTTTATATAGGCTCCTCCAGTTCGCTTTAGATCTCCACGAATTGATTTGATAGACTCCTCCTTGATTCTCTTTGATTTTATCTTTATCTCCAAGATCTCATCTTTATCTCTTGTTTGACTCTATCTCTTCAGCCTTTGACCTTATCTCCAAGATCTTATCTTTTATCTCAAATCTCCTCAAATCTTTTTGGCTTTGATTCTATCTTCATCTCTTCAAGTCAAATCCAAACTTCGTGGCTTAACTTCGTGGCTCTATTTCTTCAGATTGATTTTCCTAAAATCTCTCCAAGTGGTTGACATTGAGTCCATCTCAATCTCTTAGTCTTTGACTTTATCTCAAACTCGTCAGTTGTACCTCAGATTTGCGTGAGTTCTATCTCGCCGGATTCTTCTCCTGAAATCTCTCAAGTTTGTTGAACCTGCAATAACCACTTAACAACCAAAAAACACATGTGCAAATAATTGCACTAACAAGCTCCCCCTTTTTGGTTATTTCAGATCATCACTTAACAACCAAAAAACACATGTGCAAATAATTGCACTAACAAT